AGTCCGGGCGCGAGGACCCTGGACGGCACGGGGCCGTATTGCAAGGCCAGTGCACCCGTGTGTCCATTTTGCTCGAAGCTTCCGCGCCGCGTACATATGGCTTTGACGTGGAACCTTTGAGCTGCTGCTAGTTGTGACTTTCTTCTTACCGGCCGAATATCATTACATTGTTAGCAGTGGTCGAGCTTACAAGTGCAGAAAATCGCGATGGAAGGACGCGCTCCTGTCGGGGCTGTGCCGATCGAAGCTGAGCTCTCGCTGGCTGGCTGGCTGTGCTGGCTGGCTGTGCTGCAGGCAAGCAACACTTTGCGATGCGCAGCCGGCGATTTTGAAGCTCAGCCAGGCTGGGAGAGCAGAGAGGCAGTAATCCAACACACAGCGCAGCGCAGCGACGCAGCAACGCAGCCACGCCCGCACTTGGGCACACACTCACGAGCCAGGCGTCACACACTCGACGCAGCAGCCATCCGAGCATCTACTCCACCTGTCGCTCTCTCTCGCTCTCCGCTCGCGATCCGAGGTGCTTTGCAACTCCAACTTGTCCCCTCACCACCGCCACGACCTTTCCGCCCACGTCTTCCTTCATCCGACCCCCTCCGCTGCTCAGCAGTCATCCCGCAGAGTACGTTCTCCCGCACGATCCACCGCGCATTCGCATTCCAACAGCCGCGCGCTATCCTGCCACTGCCAGTTTTCGAGCTCTCCTATCGAACACAGCTTACCCGTTTTCATCTCGTTATCCTACGCAGACTCGCTCATACGACCTGAAGCACGACTCGCACGCTCCAGCTCGGACCAGGTCTGCTTGAGTCTATCGCCCGCCGCATCTTATCCCATCTTCACCCGAGCTCGGCGCTCCCACCGCTCACATCATGGCCATGGACCAGTCGCTAATCAAGCTCGTCAACAAGCTGCAGGATGCCTTCACCAATGTCGGCATCCAGAACCCCATCGACCTGCCCCAGATCACCGTGCTCGGCTCCCAGTCGTCCGGCAAGTCGAGTGTGCTCGAAAACATCGTCGGCCGCGATTTCCTGCCTCGTGGTACCGGCATCGTAACGCGTCGCCCTCTCGTCCTCCAGCTCATCAACCGCCCAGCCGCCGCAAAGACCAACGGCGATGCTCTTCCCGCCGGCGCCAACAAGGGCGCCAACAACCCAGACGAGTGGGGAGAGTTCCTCCACCTCCCCGGCGAAAAGTTCTTCGACTTTGACAAGATCCGCGAAGAGATCGTCCGCGACACCGAGCTCAAGACCGGCAAGAACGCAGGCATCTCGCCTCAGCCCATCAACCTCCGCATCTACAGCCCCAACGTCCTCACCCTCACCCTCGTCGACCTTCCCGGTCTCACCAAGGTCCCCGTCGGAGACCAGCCCAGGGACATTGAGCGCCAGATTCGCGACATGGTGCTCAAATTCATATCCAAGCCCAACGCCGTCATCCTCGCCGTCACCGCCGCCAACACCGACTTGGCAAACTCCGACGGCCTCAAGCTTGCCCGTGAAGTCGACCCTGAAGGTACCCGCACCGTCGGTGTGCTCACCAAGGTCGACCTCATGGACGCCGGCACCGACGTCGTCGACATCCTCGCCGGTCGCGTCATCCCGCTCCGCCTCGGCTACGTTCCCGTCGTCAACCGTGGCCAGCGCGACATCGACCAGAAGAAGCTCGTCACCGCCGCCCTCACCGCCGAAAAGGAGTTCTTCGAGAACCACCCGAGCTACCGCAGCAAGGCGCAGTACTGCGGCACTCCCTTCCTCGCCCGCAAGCTCAACACCATCCTCATGCACCACATCCGCAACACGCTCCCAGACATCAAGAACAAGATCGGCAGCCAACTCGCCAAGTTCCAGGCCGAGCTCGCATCGCTCGGCGGACCCATGGGCGAGAACAATGCGGCGAGCGTGGTGCTCCAGATCATCACCGAATTCGCCAACGAGTTCCGCACCGTCATCGACGGCAACTCCAACGACCTCACCGTCAACGAGCTCGCCGGCGGCGCGCGCATCAGCTTCGTCTTCCACGAGCTCTACGCCAACGGCGTCAAGGCCATCGACCCCTTCGACATGGTCAAGGACACCGACATCCGCACCATCCTCTACAACTCGTCCGGCTCCTCCCCCGCCCTCTTTGTCGGCACCACCGCCTTCGAGGTGATCGTCAAGCAGCAGATCAAGCGTCTCGAGGACCCGGCGCTGCGCTGCGCCTCGCTCGTGTACGAC